TTATTTATTAAAAAAATATGGGACCCACCTGTCATACTCCTATTTCTCTCTCTTCTCTCTCTCACTCTTCCTCTCTCCTCTCTCACTCTCTTTCTCACTCAGGCGCACGGTGGCACGGGGGACAGGGAGCGGCGGCGGCGGCGGGAGCTCGTGCTGCTCGAGGCGAGGCGAGGCGGTGGCGGTGCACGCATGCATACGGGGGCGGGAGGCAGCGGCGAGGACGGCGGCACGCCCGGCGCGGCGGGGCGGGACGGGGCGCGAGGAGGCGACGCGACGGCGGCAGCATGTGGGCACGCCGCACGCGGGCGCGGGGTCAAGGCGACGATAGCGACGGGCGACGGACAACAGCGCGGGTGGGACTCGAGGGGAGATGGCGACGGCCAGTCCATCTCCCACGTCCACATCGCCTTCCTCACCGAAGCCACCGGCTCCAGCCTCCACAGCTCGCCGAACACGGTGGCTGCTACCGAAGAGGTTGGTGATGGCGTTGGAGATGGCGAGCGCGGTGCAGACGCCCTTGCCGCTCCCCGACATGTCCTCCTCGAGCAGCAGCTTCGCGGAGCAGTCGCCGGATGTCTCCGACTCACTGACTTCCGCGCTCGGGCTGTAGCTCCCGCAGCACCGCTCCGAGCCACCGTTGTCCTCCGACGCGCTCGCCATTGTAGTCGTACCACCCTCCCCTCCGACCTTCGAGCGAGCTAGCTAGTCGCGGCGGGAGGGAATCGCATCCACGAGGTGAGAGGTGGTGGATTGATGCGACGGCAAGCAAGGGGAGGGGAAAGCGATGGGAGAGAAAGCAAGCACACTGATGACTACCGTCGCCCGTCGCCATCTCCCCTCGAGTCCCGCCCGTGCCGTGCGCCGTCGTCCGTCGCCCATCGCCATCGTCGCCTCGACCCCGCGCCCGCGTGCGGCTCACCGTCGTCGCCTCGCCTCCTCCTCCGCTGCTGCCGCCGTGCCTCGCCTCCTCCGCCGTACCCCGCCGCCGCTCACCGCCTCATCCCCTGCCGCCGCTGCTCCCTGTCCCCCGTGCCGCCGTGCACCTGAGTGAGAAAGAGAGTGAGAGAAGAGAGAGAGGAAGAGTGAGAGAGAAGAGAGAGGAATAGGAGTATGATAGGTGGGTCCTACATTTTTTTAATAAATAAAATGCTGACTGGACTGCCACGCGTACGCCACGTAGACCAAAACTACCGCGGATTGGGTCGAGGGGGGTAATTCGTCTGGTTTGCATAGTTGGAGGTGAAGAATGTCCGGTTTTGTGGTTTAGGGGGTAATTCGGACGACCGCGATAGTTCGGGGGTAATTCGTACTTTTTCCTTAATTAATTGTATTATGCTTTCAGTATTCTTTCGGTAGTAGATGTGGTAGCGTAATTAATTGTGGCATTGTACTACTATCAAACCTCAACATGATTAGCCGTAATCCCATAAACATGGGTACTATGGTCATTTTCACCTAAATATAATTTGCCTCAACGTGCCGAGAACGGCATCTTTTGTTGCATGGAGTGATGGAGGGAGTAGATAATTCATTCCTTCCACCGAACAATTATCATAAGACATTCAGATATGTAGCAATGCATTTAACACAAAATAACGCGCGCTACGCTAGTCGAGGATGACTATCTATTGCATTGAGAAACACTACAGTATATGCATGCTGTATTCACGTTACTTCTGCAACTGGACTGAGAACCACTATTTTCGGTGGGAAGTGCTATGGCTCACGGTCGACGACCCCACAGTAAGCTGGAGACCGACGCGTACGCTGGGTACCCGAAGTAGTGCAGGTTCATGCATGCATGCTTCGCTGAGATGTCATCGGTCATGCTTTGGCCCAGATGCCGGGACAAAGCTTCCGCGCAGGGTGTCCGGCGCAACGCACACGTTAGCCCGATATGCAGAACGGTGCCAATTAACCTTTGGCTCGTACCGTTGGTTTCCGCGGAGCACCGTGCTGATCCCGGCCCTGCTTGAATTCCGGCTTCCGGTGCAGCTTGCCTCGCGTTCCGCGTCTCCCGCTGTCGCACCGCCCGCACCGGCGGCAGGGGGCCCTCTTCGCCGCGCGGCTGCCTGCCTGTGCCGCGATCACACACACACACCCCCGTACCACTGATTATTCGATCCAGATGGATACGTTCTGCTGCTCACCGGACACAAAACATGAGGGCCACGCATGGCTGCTGCCGCTGGTAGCTAGCTGCAAGCACGATCGAGACGCTCCGTTACCCTGCGGGTTCGCCCTGTCGTCGCCCTGCCCGATCGATCGGTGCCCGTGACGGTGACCCCCCGGCCGGCCCGGTGACCAGCTCGGGAGCAGGACGGAGGAGGAGTTTGTTCAGGGTAAAGTACTCCTGTTTGTCCGTCCAACATGTGGAGCCACCGTTGAAATTTGTTGAATGGAGGGAATCGAATAATTCTGGTGCCGACGAACTGCGGCTGCATACTGCGGCATGCATGTCTGGGACTCTGGAGACCCTTGCTGGCTGCTTGTGGAACAGAGCACTACGGGCTGAAAGAAACTCCCACCGCTTAATAAAACATGTCCGTGGGCCTTCCTTAATACCCGCGACGATGGACATTACACATGCGTAAGCGGGAAGTCTAATGGGCGATCAATCGCGGGCCACGATAGTTTTATTTTTTTTTCCTCTTTTAGTAAGTTTATACATATAAAATTTACACATCTAAAGTTTATCTATCTAAAGTTTGTAGAGCGAATGTTTATAAGTCAAAAGTTTATATACCCGATTCAAATTCAAATTCGAATTCAAATATTTTATAGTTTTTTCTTTTAGTAAGTTTATACACCTAAAGTTTACCCATCTAAAGTTTATCCACCTAAAGTTTGTAGAGCGAATGTTTATAAGTCAAAATTTTATATACCCGATTCAAATTCGAATTCGAATATTTTATATTTTCCTCTTTTAGTAAGTTTATACGCCTAAAGCTTACACATCTAAAGTTTATCCACCTAAAGTTTGTAGAGCGAATGTTTATAAGTCAAACGTTTATATACCCAATTCAAATTCAAATTCGGATTTAAATATTTTATATATAAAATCTATACACAAAGTTTATGCGTGCAAAGTTTACGGTATAAAGCCCATGCACATGAATAAAAGTATTAGATTTTTCCCCCTAATTTTCTTTTACTATTTTTTTTTGAAATTAATGATGAAAGAGGAGTATTAGGGGGGAGGGACGTACGGGTGATCGCTAGGAGGAGAGGGAAGCGATCACCCGCCCACAAGCAACCCCCCAAATATTCTTTCGATAAAATTTTAGTCAGCTGAATGATTTACTATGGTCCTTATCTCTTTGAGCTTGTGTTAGAGATGTATCTCCGGTGTGCAAGTGTAGTTTGTGTATAACAGTGTGTAGTGTGTACGCGTAGAGATGATAATGGTATCTGATTCTCCATTTCTCGTGGGGCATTTCCATTATTAGGATGGGGGATGGTTGGAGTTAGTTCCCCATGAGAAATCAAATGGAAGAAAACATGTCCCTGTCTAGGTTCGTCCGCTCATGGGACGGAGATGATCCTTTGTCCCCCATCCATACTTCCATGGAGACCCACATAGGAGTCCAATTTCAATGTTTTTTTTTTCTTATGTCATGTGATTATGCTACTTATGATTTTGTTTGAATGACAATATTATGTTTTCATCATATGAATTAGTGGATATATGTTGAATATTGACGTGTGTTGCACTATAATGAGATGCATATGTTATTTTAAACAGGGACGGGAACCCATGGCCCTGTGCAGGGGCGAGGATGGAAACAAAGTTTTCCAGTTGTATTTAGTGAGGACGGGAAAAAATTGATTTGCGGGGACGGGGATGGAGATGCAATCCCCACGGAGAATTATGTGTTGCTATCTCTTTGTACATGTATGTATGTTCCATGAATAAAAAGTTTTAAGGCATCCTTTGGAATAAAGGAAATTGATATGAATTTTCAGGAATTGAACTCCTGTAAAAATCTTGTAGAATTCCTTTTGGTCCAAAGAAGTCATTAGGTTAAGTTCTAACCAATGTCATGAATTTCGCAAGAAAATATACTTAACAAAACAGTCGTTTAGGAGTTTAGGTAGATGGCCGGAGATCCAAACAACTCCTTGTTAGAGCTTTTATATGCAGAAATTTGGATTCAAATTTATTTATTTTGAAGTCCTAGGGCAAGAACCGTTTTACAGATCTCCCCGGCCGCATTTTTCCTTTTGTTTTTCTTCAATCCAAATTTTCTTTCTTTTCAGACAATTGCTCACTTTTTCTAGATTGGATTATAAGCTTCAAAGAACAAACGAGATTTGATAGTTTCGCGACAGTGCCAAAAAAAAAAATCTTCACTCGTTGAGCTGAGTTAATGAGAGTTTAAATATCTTCACGAATTACATACCATTTTTCATGATTATAATAATTGGATTATAAAGCTAACTATAGAGCTCAAGCTCTAGCAAGTAGCAACCCCATGCCTATTTCCGCCCCTAGTTTCGTCCAACGATCGAATGTCAATTGGTACTAACATGTTTAGTTGTTAGCGCTGGCCCAACTTCACAGCCTGCCGGATGCAATCATCCAAGTGGGGAGGATGAGCCTATGTTTGCCCGTTCCGATCACAACGATCCGTGAATTATCGGTGCGCTGGCCCATGGCACATGGTGACCTACTCGGCCCAGGTATTCTTCTACCTTGGTTACTTAGAAACACCAAGATTCTGATGATTGCAAACTGTTTTCCAATTAAATCATCTTTATGATCACTTCACTTGCATGCATGACAGCGCGGCCGTCTTATACAGTTATACTACTACCTGAATATCTGAACATTGACACGTCATAAACGACGAGCTCATCCGTCTTGGACTTGGAGAAGCTTCCGGAATCCATGATACCCCATCGTTGTGTTCACAGGTTACTTAATCCGACTGAGGACGTAGTAGATGCAAGCCAACACTTATACTATTGCAAAATAAAACACAATATTTACAGTATACAGATTACAGGGTGCAGTTTATAAATGCGCAGTCTTGTGATGACAAATACATTTAGCTGGAGTATATTATATTAGGCCTGGTTTAGTTTCTAACCTTTTCTTTAAACTTCCAACTTTCGGTCACATTAAAACTTTCTTACATACATAAACTTTTAACTTTTTCGTCACATCGTTTCATTTTTATTCAAACTTTTAATTTTAGCGTGAACTAAACACCCTTGATTGGTATAACTACTCCATTATCAGACGAACACCTGTACCGTTCTAATTAACTCCTCCGCATTACTCCCAAGTCCCAACTGCTTCAAAACGGTGTTGATTCTGAGAGCCAAACACCCCCAATCTTTCAGGCCCCTCCCGCGCAGAAGCCGATCGGACCAGATCCGTACCCCGTCCAATGGCCTCTACGGCAGAAGTTGCCGCCGCGGCGGCGTCGGCGTCGGCGGCGGCGGCCGCAGCGGAGACGAAGGGGAAGGGTGAGGAGGGGAAGAGGAAGGGTATGGGGGATACTGGGGATGATTTGGCGGGCTCTGTGTTCGCGGGGCGCGGCGATGACTACGAGAGATGGCTGCAGTACCTGTCCAAGGAGGAGGCCGCCGTGCACGCGCGCCTGCGCCGTTCGCCCGCCGTGGCGTCCGCAACCTCGTCGTCCTCTCCATCCTCAGCGAGGTATTGTGTCCCCTGTGTGCTATCACTTCGCTTCAGGTTTACGGATGGTTATTCTGAGTGCTGGATTTTGCTTGTAGTTGAATTTGCATCCGTTGGTGACCCGTGTTTTTCCCCTTGAATTGAGTTGCGTAATCTTAAAATCCACTATGAACCTTGCTATATTACGGGTAAGGATCGTTATGGATTAGTAGGTGATAACCCACGCTTTGCTGCAGAATGCGTGAACGAAATATATGTTAAATATCATAGAAATAATGAATATTGAAATATTGTAAAAATAATGTGAGAAAGATGATTTGTCATATTTATATGTTGAGCTCTATTTTATATTGTAGATAATGTGTTATACTTGATGAGATTTAAGATACTCTATAACAGTAATTGCTAGTGGATGATGAAGTGACACACTTGTATGTTGAGTTTTAGCTTTTAATAATTGCCCGTGGATACTTTATAGAATGTATAAATATGAGTGCCAGTAGATAGATAAGAGCAAGTGCTTCGTTTCTGGATTGAGCTAGGATGGTTAGAGCCTGTTGATGATAAATCATGGCTGTTGGAAACAGTAAAAGTACATTTGCAGCATCATGAATGGTATTTCTAGATAATGCAAGATAACTGCACCATGAACTGTATAAGTTCAGGCTCCCATCGGATGGCCCATTAAGCCAAAGAAAAAGCTAAATTTTAAATTTTCAAACTTAATTTTGAGATTGATTTTGAGATATTTTCAACGTAGTTTCTTTTTCAGCATTGGCTTTTAAGTCATCAAGAACACATATATAAAAGTTTTACCTACAAATTTATTTTTATTTCCTAATAAGCTGTTTTGGCTTATTAGAAAATAAGCGAAACGATGGGGCCCTCAATTGCTTATAGTTTAGTGCGTGCAGGGCTGCAGGCTCATGAATAAGTTCTGTTTGCTACGGTTCCCTCTTTGCTGACAGGCAGTCCTTCTGCCTTGTTTCACAAGAAGTGCATTGCAGTTTCATAACTCATTCATCAGTCAAAATATTTAAACATGGATTGGGCGATACAAAATGTATGCAATCTGTTTGTAGATACTTTGGCTTGCTAGTATCATCCTGAGTATTTCAGAATTGCTCCTGTAATTTTGAGGTACTGGGTGCAACATTTGACCAAAAATAGCAATAATTATAGCCTTATTTGAAAATTAATAATTATAACCTTATTTGATTTTTTCTTTTAACTGAGCAATTTTTGAAATCTGATTGATGCTTTTCTCAGGTGGGAGCTGTAGTTTATGCAATCATCATGACAAAATCTGTGGATCTAGATTGGCAGATGAGGGCTATTAGAGTGCTGCCTATGTTCGTCTTGCCTGCTTTATCCTCAATGATATATTCAATACGCTAAGCTTCACAAGGATGTGTAATGCTCAAACTCAGAACTCTCTCATGATTTATAATTTTAACTATTGATAAAATGCTAACCATGCAGTTCTTTTGTTACTGATGATTATACTTAGACTGTATTTAGTCAGTTCTACTGAGGACTTTCATATCCTTTGACCTTGTATACAGTTGCTCCTCCTGAGATAATTTGTTTTAGGTTTTTTTTCCTTTAATTATCAACCTTACCCATTTGATGTTTTTTTTCCTAAGAACGTGCAAAAACTTTGCACATCAATATATTAGAAGATGAATAAGATTTACACACCGCGTCCTACTAAAAGTAGGCGCAAGACATAAAGGTGAAAAAACAATCTACTTAAGTACTATTTGACGTTTGAGTAACCTGAGGACTGGTATGTATTTGTGTTAGTTGCACTTAGTGTACACTTATGAATCATTTTGACTATTGACCTATATTTCTAGAAGGTTTTCATTATGATTAGCATATTGATTTTACTCAAGGTGGATAGCTGTGACCAAAGCTTGTTAGATTTTATATGATCATAGAAGAAATCTTATTAGCAATTGTTAGCATCTTCATGTCTCTCTCTGAAGTCTGAACATTATGATGTAGAGGTTAGATTTTATGTAAATCTAACGTGGACATGCAATTGGACATTTCTTAGTTTGGGACCCATCAACAATAGGCTTTGTTAGTGTACTAATAACCTTTTTGCCTCTGTACACAGTGGAGCAGAAGGATCAGAAGTTGCTTGAAAGATTGAGAGAGGAGAGAAAAGCTAAGATTGATGAACTGAAAGAGAGAACAAATTATTATCTCACCCAGAAGCTTATTCAGGTAAGAATTACTACTTCTTTAAAAAATCTTTATTAATATCAGAAGTATTTGATATATCAGTTCTATTTGGTTTTGTGTACAACATTGAATCGTGTACCATCTTGAACATGTGCAGAAATATGACCTTGATCCTGCAGCGAAAGCAGCAGCAGCTTCGGTCTTGGCAACTAAGCTGGGGGCAGATAGTGGTCTTAAAGTATACTCCCTCCGTCCCAAAAAAACCCAACCTAGGATGGGATGGGACATATTCTAGTACAGATACGGAGTACATTGTACTAGAATATGTCCCCAGATACATTGTACTAGAATATGTCCCATCCCATCCTAGGTTGGGTTTTTTTAGGACGGAGGGAGTACGTCAAAGATGAAGCAAAATCTGAGTCATCACAGGCTAGAAGTAGCGCCAGTGAGGTAATTCCTTCCAATGGGTTGAGAAACAGGAAGCATACAAAAGCAAAAGGCAGCAGCACTGGCAACGCTGCAGATGATCATAATACTGGGCAGGTAAGTGAAGCTGTAGGCGATCACCTGGAAGCTATGGAACCTTCTAGAGTCGTTGGGCATTATCAAAGCTCAGGTACCAGTGACAGTGGTTGGATGGCAAAGATTTGTGGCAGTTGCCATATGCATAATGGCGAGTATACTAATTTATTTTGCTTTGAAAAGAATATAACAATTACAGAAAGCCCTCGAGAGATTACAGGTGCTATGAACTTCACATGACATTGGTACAACTAACGTTACATAGCATGCAAAACTTGCAGGGTTGGCCAGGAAAGAAGATTTTCCTCACGTGACGTACTGCTGCCCACATTGTCATGCACTTAACATGTCAAATCAAACCATTGGGCGATGGTCCGGCTCAAACTCCGGTCAGTTGACCTCAAGTGCTCAAGTTTCTGGTACAAATCCTGTTGCAGACAATGAACTAGGCAACCAAACCGAAGGTCAAGAGATCTACGTGGAGGAAAATTCTGGGGAAGGTCAAGGGATCTACGTGGAGGCAAATTCTGGGTAACAACCAGTGAATGTAGATTGAGGCTTGTCGTTTGATGAAGAACCTCTCTCTAGTCTCCTTGCCGGTTACAACTACACCAGCAGCTGTTCAGAGCTCATGCAGGAGTCAGTAGTAGTAGTACTGTTGTAAATAGCACATATCTGTATACATGATGTACGATAGCTGGAACAATATGTTCAGAGCGTCTTCGCACAGAGCACATCACCGTCTGATCAAATTGGTTGAGAGGCTGCATATTATTGTACGTACGTCAGTACCTGTCTACGTGATATTATGGTATGTTGGTTTAACCCTCAGCAGCATGGATGGTCAATATCTATAAAAAATGATGTGTCAGTTTTTTTTTACGATTAGAAGAAGCACGCGGATACATACCACTATACATGCTCGCACCCTGATTGTGCTCCGTTTGCAATCAGTTCCGTTGTTCTTGTTCGGATATCATTTTGCAGGAGACTCTCGCGACAGATTCACCTTCGTATGACAGCCGGAACACTAACTGTTCCGTGTTAATACACAGGAAAAAATAATCTCCAACAAATCTATGAAACAATTATCCGAGCTCCAGCTGGTCTAGCCATGGATGATGTCATGATCGAGGAAAGGCCCAAAGAAGTAAAGGTTGCTACCATCGGAGCAGAACAAGCCTTTTATCTGTCATCGTGTTTATTGAGTCTCCTGGACCGTCAGTGTCAGCTCGGTGAGGCCATGTGATGGACAGATGATTAGATCAGAGAAAGGAATTACATGATGCTAATCCTAGTCAGTGGCCAAACCTTTTCTGTAATCCTGTTAGCTGTTACTTTCCGCCAGTATTACTTTGTAATCTACCATCTGAATTCACATTTAAGTTAATCGGCCACTCTGTTTTTTTGGTTACACCCACTACCCAAAAGCACAAGCAGCTTACAACACACGACTATTACGAACATCCCTCGTCAGCACCCATGAATCTGAGTATTCGGTTTCTCTTTTTTCTTTTACTCTCTCCGTCTCAAAATAAAGCAACTTAGGGCCCCTTTAAATCACAGGAATGAAAAAATAGAAAAATAGGAAAAACATAGGATTCTGATAGGAATACAAGTGTAAAACAAAGGATTGCAAAACACAGGAAAAACATAGGAATGACCGTTTGATTGAGCTGTAGGAAAAACACAGAAATTTAAGGAGAGAAAAAGACTCAAAGGATTCTTAATATGAGGTAGAAGCTCATGTTAAATTTCCTCTAAAATTTACATGGGAAGAGGCATTCCATAGGAATTTCATAGGATACCATAGGATTTATTTCTTTGATTCAAATGGCTATATAGGAAAAATTCCAATAGGAATGAAATCCTTTAAAATTCCTATGAATTTCCTTAAAATCAAATGGGGGCTTAATATGAGATGGTACATATATGATAGTATAACAAATATGATATGTTCTATTTTATTCTTGTTTTATTTTGGGATGGATTTAGTACAAACTTACAACACATGCACAAAGCTTATGAACTGAAAAGGTATAGAAAGTAATTAAGGAGTCAATAATAAATCATACTATAGAAGTACAATAATATTAAGTTTAAGATCCTTATCTAAGACGATCCCAAATCTGGGGGCCCACATGCAGCGGCACAAAGTTTACGATCGAATCGCTAACTATGTGTGCTGCGTTGATCTTTACGACTTTACCCCGGCGGGGTCTGCGTGTGTATATAAGCACACCCAAACATGGCTACGCCAAGGTAGAGCCAAGCTGCGCTACTATTCCCCCTCTTCCTTTTTCTACGGAAGACGCAGTCACACGCTCAGGCAACGCAGGTAAAGAAAAAGAGAAGAAAAGGCAAGGTACAAACTTGAGACCTGTTCCTCCGTTGCTTTATTAATCATTATCCCGGTGCTTACTTCTTCTTAATTAATCAATAGCAATTAGTGGATTTGTTAAGCTGCTCTAGGGGAATTATTGGGGGCAGGGGGCAGACCGGAATAGAACAAGAAAACTGTTCTCTCGGGTTCTCAGCTTCGATTGCATCGATCGGTCTCGAAATTAAAAAAAATTTAAAGGGGGGGAGGTAAACCCTTTTTTAGTGGGTTGCGGGGAAGCATCTCTACGAAGAGGGAACATGTTGGAGCGTTGAGCTTTCCTCTCATCTTATCTCCTTCGTGGTGGTTTTAAATTGGGGGAAGAAGACGACGAGGTAAAAGCGGGTTTTTGTAGAGAGAAGAAAATATCGGATTTCGGTTTGAGTGCGGATTGGTAATGCGGGAGGAATCGGGGATTTTTTTGTGTGTTCGTCCCTCTCGATTCTTGGTTTTGGACCAGTTGATTCGGATCGTGTGCTCGTGATTTTGATCAACTTAACATGGAAAATGGCCATCCTTCGCTATCTAATCAACCACTATTCCTTTCTTTCTTCGCTTAACTTCGTTTGATGCAGAATGCTGAATGCCATGCCTGTCCCCTCCTTCTTCTCCAGGCATTTTTTTTCATGTCCATCAGCTTTTCTCCCTGATCGGAATATCTCCTACTTGATTGGAAAATGTTCTTGATGAGAAATTAATTAGAGAAGGCTCCAGGAGGTTAGGAACAAATATCATGGAGGTGCTCCTAAATCCCCATGGGTTTCTTGGTCCCTGGAGGTTGGAGGGAATATCTGTCCTCTGGTCTCTGCCCTTTAGCCTTTATTCGTCCTGTTCCTTTCGTTCCATTCCTAAATCCTATTCCAGTCACGCCTTCTCCGTCCACGTTGCCATTACTTCATTAAGCCCTCACTGAACATGGTTAAATCATCTTATTGTAAATTCATCGATCGAAGTTGTGTTCATTGGTCAAAGCTCAATAAAATTCTAGGTGTTGATCATGCCTAGAGGCCAATGGGCAAAGATAGGGAAGAGAACCATCCGACTAATAATTTTGTTTGTGGCAATCAAGCTGCTATCTTTGCCTGCCCTCGTCCTCTTCTGGAAACTGGAACAGCGACCGAAGACAAGAAAAGTAGAATGGAATGTAGGGCCCACACAACTTAGCTGCTCATTGAGCATACCTGATTTTGGTATTTTTGCTGACCATTGATTGATTCCCATAATTACCTAGAGAACTTGTTGAGTTATGTATGTGTTGGTCCATGAGGCCCATATACTACTCATATGTACATGTATATAACAGAGTTAGAGAAATGAAAAAAGTAGTGAAGCTTCTAGAGAAAAATTCCCAAAACTTCATGGTATCAGAGCCAATCGGCTGGTGGCTGGCGACGGCTAAACCCTAGCCTCGCCGGAGCTTGTCGAGGCGTGCAGAGAGGTGCTGAGGGAGCTGCGCTGGCAGAGCTGCGCGTGTACGCGGCGCAGGAGCGCGTGGAGCTCCAGGTGAGGAGGGAAACGCTGGTGCTGGAGCTCCCGGCGAGGACGCAGCGGCGTCAACGGCGGCAGGCAGAGCCAACGGCGGCCGCGCGCGGAGGGAGCTGCTGGTTGTGAGGACGGCACTGCTGGTGCTGGTGTGAGGATTTGGTGAGCTGCTATTGCTGTTCTGTTGCTGAGGCAGAGAAGATCGAGCTGAGGATTTGGTAGTGTGCTGTTGCTGCTGAAAGGAAAAGGGGAACACAAATTTGGTAAGTGTGTTGTTGCTGTTGCTGTTGAGCGAGCAGAGGAATTGTTTGCCGGTTGTGCTATTGGTGTGGCTTGTGTGTGCTGCGGCAAGGAGGTGAGCTTGTGAGTATTGTACTCCTGTGTGTGGTTGAGAAAGGAAGAAAAAGAAGGGAGTATTGCTGCTGGATCTGTTGGTGGTGTCGTGTGTGCTGAAGATTACAGGTGCAGAGAGCAATAGCAGGTGAGGAAAGCTGTAGCTAGCTTCATCTAGAAGGGAAGAAGCGGCTTTGGTGTTGGAAATTAATTATTGTCAAGAAGTAAGGCAACAGGTTGTGCAAGGTGAATGTGAAGTTAGTGCTTCAGATTGGCAGGCAACCAACCCAAATTCGTGTGTGCGAGAACACAGTCCAAGCCTCGGCAGTCACAGAGAGGGAGAGGGGTGCTGCTGTGTCGAGTTCCCTGATCAGGAGGAAAGAAAACCAGGGGACGTTGTCTTCAAGGTGTTAGAATAGAGTGAGTTTGTAAAAAAAAAAAAAAAAAAAAAAGGAATGGAGGGAAGTCAAGGAATTGAACAACTGCTTGCGAAAATGGCTGTAGAAATACAAGAAATAAGGGAAAGAATACGGAAGGAGAGGGAGAAAACAACAGTTCTTGGCAACCTTGTCAACCTCGCGCATCCCATGCAGATGCAGGTACCTCACTCAACCTGGATATTAGACTCTGGAGCATCTAGACATGTAACAGGTATGCCAAGTGAGTTTGTGTCATTTACTCCATATCCACCCACATATAAAGAAACTGTTCAGACCGCCGATGGTACTTCACAGCCTATCAAAGGTGTGGGAAGAGTACAGTGCACTCCATCCATTACATTATCATCAGTGTTATATGCTCCCTCCTTTCCAGTTAATTTGGTATCAATAAGTTCTTTGGTTGACCATATGGATTGTTGGGTTACTCTTGATCGAGAAAATTGCCTAATAGAAGAGAGAAGAACAGGAAGGAAGCTTGGGATTGGCATTAGGCAGAACGGATTGTGGTACTTAGATAGAAGCGGAACAAATAAAGCACTATGTAGTGCATTGGCAGTTGGTACAAGTGAAGAGGAAGCTAGATTGATTCTCCAGCATTGTCGATTGGGCCATATGTGTTTTGAAACTATGAGGAAGATATATCCTGATGAGATGAGTAAGGTGGACAGAAGCAAACTAGTATGTGATGCATGTGAATATGGAAAGCATACAAGAGCTACATATATAAGCAGAGGACTTCGGAGCATATCACCCTTTATGTTAATCCACTCTGATGTGTGGACTTCCCCTATTGTCTCGGTGAGTGGAATGAAGTACTTTGTGACTTTTATTGATTGTTACTCCCGAATGACCTGGATATATCTTATGAAACATAAAAATGAAGTACTAAAATGCTTCAAGGACTTCTACGCATTTGTTAGAAACCAATTCAACACATGTGTCAAAATTATCAGAACTGATAATGGGAAAGAGTATGTGAACAATGAATTTGGTAGTTTCCTTTCGATAGAAGGGATACTACATCAAACTTCTTGTCCTGACACACCACCGCAGAATGGGGTGGCTGAGAAAAAGAATCGCCATATCTTGGAGGTGGCACGTTCACTCATGTATACTATGAATGTACCAAAGTTCCTCTGGAGTGAGGCGGTCATGACAGCTACATATCTTATCAATCGTACACCATCAAGAATACTTGGGATGAAGGCTCCATATGAGATGGTATTTGGATGTAATGAATTTATTGTTCCACCAAAGGTGTTTGGATGCGTATGCTTTGTTCGAGATCATAGACCTTCTGTGGGAAAATTGGATCCCAGAGCTATCAAGTGCATATTTATAGGTTACTCATCTGGTCATGAAAGGATACAAATGTTGGAGTCCATCTGAGAGGCGAACATTTGTAAGTATGGATGTCACCTTTAGAGAGTCTATTCCTTTCTATGGAGAAATGACAAGATTTGAGTTATTTGTTTTCTGATCTTGACAATCCAATCATGAGTGANGTTAGGTATGAAGGGGTTAATGAATNACTAGGNATGGANGTAGGNGGATGAATNAAAGAGGACGAAGGNTGTTATTGGGNCAAATCCCATGCCCTATGGAANACTCCACATGAGCAGAATTGGAGGAAACCACATGAAGAAGAAAATCTACAGGTTTACACAAGGAGAAAGCCAAGGTCCTTGGAGACACAACAGGTAGAACAACAACCTCTAACAATTGATAGGAATGAGATGGTGGAACAACATCAACAACCTCTAGTCATTGATGAAATAAATGATCAATCTTCTTATCAGTCAGATCCTATACAAGAGAATACCGAGACAGGGGGAGAGGAGAGTGAAATATCAGGAGAGGAATCTAACTTGCCTATTGCTAATAGGAAAGGGATAAGAAGCACGGCAGGAAAGCCCCCTATAAGATATGGCTTTGAGGAGGTTGAGGAGGAAAATGGGAATGACATAGCTAATTATGTGTCATATTCATCTTTATCTCCTGCCTATAGGGCTTTTATTGCATCATTTCAATCCATAGTGATCCCAAAGGATTGGAGAGAAGCGAAGAATGATCCAAAGTGGCATGAGGCAATGATGGAGGAGATGTCAGCACTTGAGAAGAACAAGACCTGGGAGCTTGTACCTTTTCCAACAGGTAAGAAGGTGGTTAGTTGCAAGTGGGTGAATGCTGTAAAACAAGATCCATTTGGGAAAGTAGAAAGGTACAAGGCAAGGCTTGTGGCAAAAGGGTACAGTCAAACATATGGAATCGATTATGATGAAACCTTTGCACCTGTTGCAAAGATGAGCACAGTGAGAACCTTGATATCATGTGCAGCTAACTTTGATTGGCCACTATACCAACTAGATGTTAAGAATGCATTTTTGCATGGAGATCTTCAAGAGGAAGTTTATATGGAGATTCCACCGGGTTTTTCCACCTCTCAAACTAAAGGAAAGGTATTGAGATTGAAGAAATCCTTGTATGGCCTTAAGCAGTCACCAAGGGCTTGGTTTGATAGATTTAGACGTGCAATGTGTGGCATGGGCTACAAACAGTGCAATGGAGACCATACATTGTTTTATCGTCACCGTGGAAAGAAGATTGCCATCCTGGCTGTATATGTGGATGACATAATTATTACAGGAGATGACACTCAAGAAATAGCTCAGTTAAAAGAGAATATAAGCAAAGAATTTGAAGTCAAAGATCTTGGTCAGCTCAAATATTTTTTGGGCATTGAGATTGCAAGATCTCCTAGAGGGATAGTTCTTTCACAACGAAAGTATGTATTGGATCTACTTTGTGACACAGGTATGCTCGGTTGCCGACCTGCCTCTACACCAATTGAGCAAAATCATAAGTTATGTGCTGAATTAGGAGATCCAGTGAATAAAGAAAGATATCAAAGACTTGTGGGACGACTGATATATTTGTGTCATACCAGACCTGACATAACTTATGCTGTGAGTGTTGTTAGTCGATACATGCATGACCCTCGAAGTGGTCACATGGACGCAGTATATAGAATCCTGAGATATTTAAAAGGGAGCCCAGGAAAAGGCTTATGGTTCAAGAAAAATGGACATCTAGGTGTGGAGGGCTACTGTGATGCGGACTGGGCTAGCAGCCTTGACGATAGGAGGTCAACCTCTGGTTACTGCGTATTTGTTGGTGGCAATTTGGTCTCTTGGAGGAGCAAGAAACAACCGGTAGTGTCTCGCTCAACTGCTGAGGCAGAATACAGGGCAATGTCAGTGAGTTTAAGTGAGCTGTTATGGTTGAGAAATCTTCTTTCTGAGTTAAAGTTGCTAATGAATATTCCCATGAAGTGTGGTGTGACAATAAGTCGGCTATTAGCATCGCTAACAATCCAGTTCAGCATGATCGAACAAAACATGTGGAGATAGATCGTTTTTTTATCAAGGAAAAACTAGATGAAGGGATTTTGAAGCTAGGTTTTGTTATGTCGGGGGAACAAGTAGCTGACTGTTTAACAAAAGCTTTAAGTGTTGGGGAGTGTACTTCATCGTGTAACAAGATGGGCATGATAGATATCTATCGCCCATCTTGAGGGGGAGTGTTGAGTTATGTATGTGTTGGCCCATGAGGCCCATATACTACTCATATGTACATGTATATAACAGAGTTAGAGAAATGAAAAAAGTAGTGAAGCTTCTAGAGAAAAATTCCCAAAACTTCAGAACTAGTATTGGGTTGTTTGGATACCATCTCATCAGAGTACCATGTGTTGAGCTTCACTAGAGACTTTGTGAAAAAAAATTACTTCAGAAGTCACTCTAGTTTATATATCTTACAGTTGCAAACGTCTACTTTATCACAACCTCACTTTTTTTTTCTTACAAGCAGTTTCTTGTGGTTTCCCCTATTGCACCTTTGGCTGAGTTTAGTTCCAAAATTTTTCTTCAAACTTGCAACTTTTCCATCACATCAAAACTTTCCTACAGACACAAACTTTCAACTTTTCCGTCATTCCAATTTTAACCAAACTTCTATTTTTGGCGTGAACTAAACACACCCTTTCTTGATCTGCAAGCTCCAGGCAATGCGCCAATTACACAGAAGTCTCCTCTTTTCCCAAGAGCGTTATCCTCTGACTAATATTGTATCTTCTCATTGACTAGTTCGCCCAATTGCTACATGGCTTCCTTTCTTTTACACTTTGTTGCATTTGTTGCTTCTAAACATAGTACAAGAATTAGCTTCCTCTTTCTCTTCTTTACTTGATGATGCGCCTTGATGCTATAAATATATCTGATAGGTCTTGACCATTCCAAGCACAACTTGGGATAAGACGAAGTAGTGCCAAATTATGGATTGTGGGATTGAATTGAAGGGCTGCATTTGTCGGATCAACAACTGCGCTGTTGAACTCTTCTCAATGGAGGAGGACTTGGTGATTGATGATGAGGACTCGTGGGACCTTCTTGCGAGGGATCTTCGGTTGAAGGCTACATTCTTGTACATTGACCTCGGCCGTGTGATTTGCTCCTGTGAGATTGATGAACACAAGAAGATGCTCACCGGTTTAGCGAACAAGTTTTTCTACTTCATGGATGAGGTGAGCATTGCTTCCCTCGTTCTTGGCAAGCTTTCGCCCAAAGCATGTGTCTCTTTTTTTATATATAAAAGCATGCCTCTTATTTCATTGCAAATTTAGTAATTCACACGTATTTGAAGAGCTCAAGGATGCCTTTGATTATATATAACACTCCTGTTTTAGTCATTTCCTGTAATAATGCTTTGTCATTTCACATTAAACGTGATTGGTTACTCCATCCTATCTAGCTACAAATTTTATATAGTTTTTATTCATAATTTGTTATCTAAGTCAACAACTCAACATTTTAAGCTAAGCTAATGGGTTGTAAGGGGAGAAGGTTATCTTGGAATTTTCTGGATGTTTAATGTAAATGGATAATTATGCTTCCTTAAAAAAAGTTGTTAACGTCCTTTTCGTGTTTTTGTTTTAGCTGTTTATGGTTCATGAATCATGACTAGGCTCACCCAATAGAATTAGAAAGGTGCTCCTAGCCCGTTCGGCAATGTACTTATTTGTCAAATCAGTTATGGACAATCAACACACTTGATTAATTTGTGGATATATTCGCTGTCTATCTAATTTAAGATGCCTTTGCACAAATGGCAGTTGACGAATGCAGTGAGCAGCAGAAGCATCCCCCTCATGCAGGTGTGCTACAGTGATACGACTCTTCTTCTCCGCGAGGTGCTCTCCGCCCTTGTGCCCTCCCAGTAATTTGGGCCTAATTCAAGATTAGATGCCCCCTGCAAGGCTAGTATTCGCTCTGCTTCTGCAGCATCGCAATGTATGGAGCAGGCGAGGGTAAGATCTGAGAGCCTCACATTTTCTTGGAAGCAAGAAACACCCAGAAGAGGATGGATAAGGAAAATGTGAGAAGAATGAGGTGCAGAATCACCCTCACCTATGTACATATCTTTAATCAGCTTCAGAGTTGGAACTTGGAAGCACTTTAATGGATTAGCATCCGGTTTGCACCAATGAGATGCACTTCTCTGAAGCTTCTTGTTTGTTTGTTTGTTTGTTTCATTTTACATGTGAAAGTTGACTCCTCTCTAACGCGAAATGTAGCAAGATAATTGCCGTTCCATAGCTTCATAGCTTTTAACCTGCAATTTCAGGCGATATGCTTTTGCCGGATAAACAACCAGGTCCTACGCTCCTCCTAGCTTCGGTTTTTTTGACTGATGTTACATTGTGGAGTGATTTTACGGTTCTTGAGGTACCAAGGGTACTCACAGTGCATGTCTCTAAAATGCGTGTCTCTAGGTGACAAATAAACCCATAACATACTTTGGAAACCCATCCCACGGTGCAAAGGGGGCAAGCAAATGGCTTCGAATGGCCGGAGCTGAAAAACGCCACACGGTGAGATCACGTAGACCATGGGGGGCCACTCTCACCAATGTAGGGGTGCCGCTCGTTCGTGCTCCTTGCGTCCTCTAGCGCAGCGAAGGAAACTGCATCCCAGTGAAGGGCCGAGGAATTCAATAGGGAAACGAGTCAAGCTGACGTGTGCAAGAATCTCCTACATGTCGGTTCTAATCCACACGACAACTCAGTCCACTGTAAACGGCCTAAGAAGTATCATATTTTTTATATGTAAAATTTAGTATATCTTGCTATCTCCGTTATTAGGAGGTAAAAAATATTAGGACAATAGTCTTCTGCTGCTAAGCTTTGCTCCTTGCATTCAGGTTTAGAATTAGGCACATGCGCTGCCACTGATGCGTGCTTCATCCGTCTTAAAATAAACCAACCACGTATCGGATATGATACATCATAGTACGATAAATAGGGTGTGTTATCTATATAAAGTTAATTTATTTTGGGACAGTTTGAGTAATTGGTAATGTAATCACAAAGCTGCCAGGTTGCGGTAGTATTCCAGTAGGCACAGATCTGCGATTTACGCGCTGGCGTCTTCACTCAAAATCCCCACATGTTTCGGCCTTCGACAGAGCCTACACGGCTACACATGCCCGTGTTGGCTTTGGGGTTTCCCGACTGAATGTGTCAAGTGTCAACGTGACACCAACCTTATCGGAAGCACCTGGCTGTGCACGCCTCAGCGTCCAAGAAGGCTACACGCTGCCACTGCCAATCTGCCATGGCATTGCAGCTCGCTGCCCAAGCGCTCTCCGCGATCCTCCTGTCCGGCGCCCAGCCGAGCAGCAGACGCGCGACACCGCCCGGAAACGGCCAACGGAGTCGGAGACCGCCAGCCACCGGCAGGCGGCGGCTGGCGGCGTCGCTCCTCGCGTCCCAGCTGCTGCTGCTGCCCGCGGCGGCGACCAGCGTCGCCGGCGCGTTCGAGTTCGACCTGAGGATCACTGTGCCGGAGCAGTCCGGCGAGGAGGCCGAGGCCGTCGTGAAGCTCCACGCGAGGAACCTGGTGCGCGTCAAGGGGCTCATCGACGCCAGGTCGTGGAGGGAGCTGCAGGCGGCGCTCCGGTCCAGCGCCGCCAACCTCAAGCAGGACCTCTACGCCATCATCCAGGCGAGCCCGGCGAGCCGGCGGCCGGAGCTCCGGCGGCTCTACTCCGACCTCTTCAACAGCGTCACCAGCGTAAGCGTCGACACACAAATCAAATCGACGTGTCTACTCAACTCACAGTAGAACATGGTGTGCTAATCTTGTTCTTGTTTCGCATGCAGCTAGATTATGCGGCCAGGGACAAGGATGAGCTCCGAGTTCAGGAATACTACAGCAACATGATCACAAGCCTCGACGAGATTTTTTCCAAGATCATGTAGCAGCTGTCGATTTTTAGCTCGTCTAGGATGAATAGAGAGAGAGAGAGAGAGAGAGAGAGAGAGATGAATTAGATAAAGCTAGACTCTTGGATTGCATTTTACACACAGGGAACAGCAAAATGTTAACGGGCAAAAAGGCCTTTTTTTTCCTCTTTTGCTAAGCTTAGCTAATAGCTAGCTAGCTAGCTAGTACTTATTATTAACTAACTTCCTATTCTACATCCTCTATTCACTATACTGAGAAACTGACAGGATGAGAAATCGAAAAGAAAAAAAAATTCAATATGTGCAGGTGCACCAAGACGAGCAAAACTGAAGTTTCCTGAAATATTACTGTTCAGCCACCAGTTTTACAGGCTTGTCGCTGGCCAGCTGGGGCGTACGTTCAACCCATGTCAGTGGAGGCCGAGCAGCAGATTGGTTACAGTTACCTCCCCTTCGCCTTCTGATAGAGAAAGCAGGATCCCTGGTAGTTCTACTCATCAGTCATCACCATCTGACAGCAGTAATTCCCAAATATTTCACTAAGTTTGTGATGGAGTTTAAACGTTTGCTTCATGTGCAACCTGTTGGCAGTGACTTACCATCCTCTTGGTTCCTCCTTCAATTGGCTGCCTCCGAGAAATTGTGGCTAAGAATGAAAGGAAATCAAATTAACAGGTAAAACAAAATTTCCATACTGTGTGTCGAATAGTCACAGGACCTTGAGTACTTACCACTGTAAGACCAGGAAGTACGAAGCTAGCAAGATTTTCATTCACCGAGACGGGCAACGGAGGCATCTTACTCATTATCCCAGGCATTTGGTTCATGCTGTTTATAGAAGAAACACAATTAGAGACAGTGAATCTATACTACAAGCATAACTCCAAAATTCTGCATGCATCAGAGAGGGAATATGTTTACGTTTGCAGAAGACCATTGATGTTCCTTCTTGTCCGATGGAAGAGTTCAATATTGTTTTGCGGCTGGAAGAAATAGTAATTAGAGTGAAATCCATGTAATTAACGGGAAATATGTTTAACACAGCGCATTTTCATAATGATCGATGCACCTCTCCAATATGGTTTTGCGCGAACATAGCCTAGAATTACTTTTTTTTCATCGGGTCGGCAAAGAAGTGCCGACCGAAGTTTATTAAGATTAGGGGAAAACTGTCGGAAGTACAACAGTACTGGCAACCAGGATCGCTACAGTACAACAGTCCTGGCAACCTAGAATAACTGGAACGATGAACAAAAAAACACCATTCTTTGTAAGATAAATATACACCTACCTGACATGCTAGCATATTTGCTTCAATCTGATCAAGAAGTCGATCATTTTGTACTAGTAATTGCTGCATTGCACGATCTATTTCAGTGGCTGCATGTTAGAAAAATACGCACATGGTCAAATTAAGGAACATATATGTAATATGTGTATGAAAAGTCATCAGCTTAATCTTGTCAAAAACCAGTTCTTATGAATCTTTCCATCAGCGCATAATTCTAATATCTTATTTAAATTGCATCTGCTAATCCGTTAATTTATTATTTACTCTCCCAAGAGCATAATCGAAATGAAGGATTATCATGCGTTGGACCCACAGCAGATGGTTTTACATTCTAGAAAAATGGACCTGATACTCAAGTGACCTACCAACCTCCAGTTAGAATTTGGTTGTTTTGAATGGCATTATGTGACACAAACGAAGGAACTCTTGTGTCCGTCTGAACTGGATGATTGGTACCCCATAAGGAAGGCTCGGCCATTTTAGCCTGAAAAAATAACCATTATTACACCAGTCAAAAACATGTGCATGAAGTACGAAATGCCCAGGGCTAAATAGTTAGGTCTGCTATTTGTTATGTACTTCAAAACTTCTATTTTTGATAAATCAGTTAAAACAATTATAAGGCTGAGTTCTTTCCCCAACTTTTCCAACTCACATTTCTCGTGTTCCGCTCGTACGCTTTTCAAACTGCTAAACGGTGCGTTTTTTGTAAAAAGTTTCTTTACGAAAGTTGCTTAAAAAATCATATTGATCTATTTTTGAAAAAAAAATAGTTAAAACTTAATTAATCACGTGCTAATAGACCGCTCCGTTTTCCGTGGGCAGGAAATGGGTTCTCAACACACACAAAGGAACACAGCCTAAGTTGTTCAAATAGGACCAATAGTTTTTTTTTTTTTGGAAACGGGGCTAAACGTGTTACTGAATCAGTTGCATTAATCAGAAAACCATTAGGAACGTTAATACCTTTCTTTCTTTCATCTTTCTTCCAGTGTGATGGTCTTCAGACTTCCGCCGCCTTGAATTTTCTCTTTTCTGCAAGAGAACCAAATCATTATTATTATTATTAAAAATAAAAAAAAGAACTACTAATAAAAGAAAATAAAGTACTAGGTCAGCTAGGAAACGCACACGCGCATCTTAAATATATATAACTGTTGTTTAGTTAGCTATATTCTTAATAAAACTTTTGAAGAATATAAAGCCCATTTTGATTTTATCACAAACAATATACTGATCCAAAGAGGAACCACACCTTTAGTTTTCAGTACAGTATCAGACAATATTTTTTTTTGCCGGGTCAGCCGAAGGAACCGGCGACCAAATTTCATTAAGATTGAGAGGAATAAAATCAAAGTACAAGTAGTTTTCGCTTGCAACGACAGGAGGCTGTCGAATTAGACTGTGGCAGGAACCATAGCCCGGCAAACTAAAAAAAAAAACTGGAACGCCAACACAATAGAAAGAAAACTAAGAACTGCAGTATCAGACAATAATTCAGGCAATTGCCTAGTCAGCTATCGTAACTAATAATATGGTGGGTCCAAAAGATATATCACTGGCAAAAAGATATATGCATGTTTTTTATAAAAAAAAATGGTATAAGAATGTGCTGTCTTTTGATCTACCTTTTTTCCTTTTGGACAATACAAATGTATATCAATATAATAACAGCCCACAAGGAGAAATTGATTGCCAACTCATGTCTCAATATGACTATGGTCCAAAATGTGCAACTTTCGCATTTATGTACATAATCATTGAGAAGAAGTGTATCTATCATTCATATTAGCATATTCAGAGAAAAAAAATGAGGCATAGCAAGCCCCATCCAAAAACTGCTCAAGGAGAAAAGGGAATATTGTCTGCCTGAACGGTTGTACCTAAGGGAATATTGTCAATTATGTAACGAGCAAACCTCAAACAGAAGGCATCCTTGTAATCGGGAAAGGGAATGCAGATATTATGTTCGAGTGACTACAACTTACAGAGTATATACATATTAGAGATTGCTTACCCCTAGCCACTGACACTTCATTGCGACATCTCTCACAGTCTTGCTTGGTAATGAAGCTGCTATCTTTATATACTTCATGATGCCTTGTTCATTTCCATATCTGTGTATATTCATCATTGGCGTCCCAATGAGAACAAAATAAAGGACACACATGAGGGATGGTCCAGTGAATAAAAAACATGGACCAGGAAAAAGATATTCCAACATCAACCAATGGAATAGTAAAACCTCTATCGATTGGACTAACACATGCTCTGAGTTTGCATAAGTTTAGACAATTTAATTAGACCACATGCTCTGAATTTGCATAAGATTACAATCATATAAGTGGAAGTAGCTTACTTCTGGAGGCCATCTTTCAGCACATCGAGCTCAAGACGTGACCAATCAGCTGCCAGGGGCCCTCCATATTTGAGGTTCTGCCCGGGATCAGCAACCGTATTGGACGAAGTGGTGGAGACAACCACAGAAGGTGTGGTGCTCAACATCACCGTGTTGCTGTCCATCCCACTGGAACAGTCCAGGTACACTGGCATGCCTCCTGACCCACTAGTTGTCACGCTTGGCTGAAATGAAACAACTTGCTGGCTGCAGAATGGCTGAGGAAATTCACCAAAGTCTAGACTAGGATCATCTGCCATCTGCGCGCCCAGCAAATTATCTAGAACGGAATTTGGTATTTCCAGTTTCGAAGGACGCACTCCAAGTTGATCCAGAGCAACTCCACAATGCAGAATGGACGACTTTGGTACCTACTGCTCCAGGTACTCATCCAAGCATGGACTCTTTGTAACGATACTCAAAAAGTTTGTGTACTTCCACAATATATTGTTCCCTGCAGATGGAACTAAGCACGTCAAGGAAGCTGAAACCTTGGAATTTGGAGAAATAAAACTCAATAGAGGAAACTAGTATCGAGCCAATCTTCCATGAAGATAGAAATGTCGAATTTCTTTGCTTGGCAAAAAGAAATATGCTTAAGGAACACAATTGTACTCTGCAACGCAGGTTTACTTCACTTGTAAAAGATCAGAGTATCAATATTTTCAAAGCAATAGATTATTTTTCTCCCTTTTGCCATGTAATCCTCATAATTCAGCCAATTCTACTCTCTTTCATGTGAAGCACGCCACAGACGAAATCCTCGCTACAGAACCAGATCAACAGGCAAAATTTGGACGATTTTCTCTCATCGTCTCATGCGGATCAGAGCACACAGCCATATAACCCAGTCGGGCAGTCAGTGTCTATCCGCATGTCGCATGGCCCCCAGTAACAAGAAAGCAACAGAATTCGATGAAAGAATCAAATCAAAGAAAGTAACTCGCGGACAAGGACCCGGCCAATCTGCTCCTGCATACAGTTCATAAGCCCATAGAAAAAGACCTAGTAAAAAAAACCCAAACCCACCAATGATTGCGTAAAGCCAAACCACACAGACATGCATGCAAAACCCGAAACTGCCGCCCCCATGAACTAACCTGGCTTTGCACACTGCAGTTCATATGGCACGATAGAGAGAGAATCAGAGAAGCAAACCAAGAAAACAAAAATCAACACTACCATAATCCACAGCTAGCCCAATCAATCGACCAGCAGTATAGGCAAGAACCCGATCCTAAGCATCGAATGAACGAACACACGGGTAAACCGTAAAACGAAAAACCAGCTTAAAATTACCGGGTTGAAACCGATCTAATCTGCAGGGAGCGAGAGATCGCCAAGCTCTTCAAGCAGCTTCAGTGCGACTCGATCGCCTGGAGCGATCGATCGATCGGTCCCTCGTGTGTGTGCGCGCGCGCGCGCGCGGGCGAGCGGGGTGTGACGGTGAGCGCGGTGGGTGGTTGATGGACACTGATGGTGGTGGAGGTGGTGGTGGTGGTGGTGCTAGTGTTGTTGTTTGGTTCTTCTTTAAAGAGAGATGGTGCCGCCCAGCTTTGCTCGCTCCAATGGGAGGGAGGCCGAAAAGCGGCGGACCCGCGCTCCCCTCGACTCGATCGGCAGGAGTAAAACCGGCCGGGGTATTGCCCCTCCTCCCCTCCCCCCCTCGAAAAGCCGCCAAAGTCGCGTGCCGATCTCACGTACAACTTGTTGCGCACCGTAGCATAGGCACAGGAGAAGCAGAGCAGCCGAGATGGGGGCGAAGCCAACAATAATTTTGCCACTATTGGTTTCTATCTTAGGTTTGCTCTCGCTCCAGGCTCGCCTTTCCTTTCTCGGTTGTTTTCCCACTTTTTCATGCGAGGAAAGCAACACGTACGTCCCCATGTATACAAGTAGCTCTCTCCTTTTTCTGGTGCTGTGGATTATTTATATTGCTGTTGTTAACTAAACCGGTATCTAGGAGTAATAGTAGTGTTTAGGAAGCTACGCTGATGGACATCTGTGGACTCTAGAGGCTGTAAAGAGCAGTACTTTGGAAGCATGATAATTTATAAACGGCGTAGCTGCAGGTATGGAGTAACACTCGTATCACATCACGGAAGCTGTCCTCTTTCACTTTTAAGTTTTACTTCATGACACAAAGACTTGTTAAAACTACACTTGCATCCTCTCCTTCCCTTTTGTTGTTTTCTAAACGCAAGTAGATTGGGTGCCCATTCCATTCGATCCCCCCTACCGGACCTCTCCTTTTGATTTCATCGTGGGCTTGGAATCGGATCCTACTAGTTTTTATGCAAAACTGGACTGTTTTACGAAGGTAACGTGCAATTCCGGCGTGTGTATTCCACTAGTCCACTCATGGTCTACAGGGCATTTTGTTCCGGTCGGGACCCATCTGCTGTGCCTGTGTGCCTGTGTACCGTATGTTCTTACAGTTAACCAGAACCATTAGTTAAAAAGAGGAGACATCAAAGCAAATATTGCCATCTAAGTTTTTTGGGGGCCGATTTCAGACAGGACCACTTTTGGGGGACATGCAAGTGGAGCAACTAATTAGTACTAATAATCAGTATAACCAGGAAAACGTACGTATTATATTATTACTAGTAGGCCGTGTCAAAATAGCATTTGGTTTAATTGTGTTGTGCGAGTATTAGGCCATCATCAACCGCGCGCGCCTGCGTGGCCGGCCTCCTTGGCGCCGTGCCCAGCTGACGCCTGCGCCGCGCTTCCCGCGGTTGATAGAGGCGTTACGGCCGGAAAGGAGCTGAGACACGCGCGCGCTAGCTTTTTGTTCGCGGGCGCGGAGCCACCGCCTCGCACGACCGCAAGCGACAAACGGTTCGCACACAGCGGCAGCGCGCCCGCGGCTGCCCGCGCGCGTGCGATGCGTGCATCAGCTAGCCCAGCGCACACGAGAGTTGCAGCGGCTAGCTAGCTCGCCACCCGCCCACCCGCCCGCGCGCACGGGCGGCGAGAGCAATACCGTATGATTATCGCACGCGATAACCTTCTTAATTTTTAAAACCACCGTATATCTTATAGTATTGGTAATCGTGTGGCGATTATAAAACCGTGAGGTGACAGTAACTTTACTCTAAACAGTTCAGTGGGCCTGAGCGAGACGCTATCGACATAGAACGGGAACGGCCGAGCTAGCATTCCATCCCACTCCGCTCGGTGCCGGCGCGTGTTGATCGGCCGCATATACGCATTATTGCGAAGAGGTCGTTGCGAGCGGTGCTGCACAGCGCCATCCAATGCTTCCGTGGTCTTAATCAGTTGCTCTGCAATTACGTACGTATGGGTGCTTGGGTACGATTATACACATGGACGTTGCAGTGAAGAGAGAGCCTGCATGCATGGCCGGCCACTGGCGTGCACCAATTGGCGCGGACTGGCGCCGGTGGACAGCTGGTGGCCGGACCAGCTAGCTGCGGATTAGGGGTGGTCACAAGACTCACAGCTCATCAGATAGAGTGTGCCACTGTGTCCGAGCGGCGAGCGACACTTATTATGATCAACGTGTCACACGTTGGTGCATGGCTCGTGACAGATAGCGCGCCATGTATGATATTAGTATCATTTTGTCTCACTATATATTATACTATATCGCTCTTTTATGGTGCCGATGAGCACACGTGCTGTTGTTCTTGGGATCCTATTTTCTCTCACGTGAACTGGCTATTTTTCCCCATCCATGCTAATTATTGTTCCAAAAAGTAATTTAACTTTTTTCAAAAGATATTTTTCTAAGACATTTTAGGTCTGTAATCTGTCATCTCTGCATGACGATGGATGGATCATGCCAAGTTGCCACCACTTAGATCTTGGCGGATCCAAAAAGAAATAGCAGTGGGGTAGTCTTCACGTCAATAGTGGGGGCTCAATACCCCGTCGCCCCTGTGCTGGATCCGCCCCAGTCTTTCTCCTCGCAAGTCTGGAACCTTGTGTGCAGCCAGCTACACAATGTGACGGATCAATAGCCGTGTGTTTGATGTGATGATAATCCTGGTGGCATGGATGTTTCGAAGAATCGAAGGAGCAGAATGCTCGCATTTTTTATGGCGTCGCTCGCTCTGCTGTGAGAGTGGCCGGGATAATTCACGAAGAATGGTGGACATGGCGTGTGGCTAGGCGCCACTTGATGTTCACTGTAACTTGTAACATTTAGAGGGGTAGCATTTACCCTAATGAGCTGGTATCGGTAGGGACATGTTTTAAGAAACAACCATGTTTGTTGTTTTCTGTACTAAACTTCTCCTATCTTAATGCAAATCCTATCACTAAGATTATAGACTTGTTTTTCTAAAAAAAATCAAAATTTTCTTTACTATTTAAGATATAAATTTCTGGCCTTTGGGTCGGCTCACATCGTTATGTTGTCCAAAATCACTTAAATTCGGACCAAGTTTGTAAAGTGAATGATTTTGATTATTAAGGACTGAAAAGTGTCTAATTCTAAACTTTCATAAGAGTTGGTAGATAAAATAGACGTCTACTTAAATATTACATAAAATGAATATGGCAAAAATTTGTTGGAAGCAATAATAATAGTTTAATAATAATAAAGATATAGAGATGAAATATTATCCATAAGACAGTCCTAAAATTTTTCGTCGAGCGAAATGGACTATTCTTTATCTTTATGTTTAATAATGGTTCAACGTTAAGTGTAAGCATAGTTTCTTTATAATATTTTATTTATTGGGTCTGTTCGGTTGTCATTTTTCACAGCCGCACTGCAGCAAGTTGCAGCTGCTGCAGCCGCACAACGCAGGTTGCAGCCGCAGCGCTGCCGCAGATATGACAGCCGAACAGGCCCATTCTTTGGAGAATTAGAGCTAATGGATGTGTGCTATCAATAGAATAGAGTATATATCGGTTCATCAAGATTCTACTTAATTGAAAGCACTGAGTAACTTTCCTCGAGAATCTTTTAGTCTAGTTGAAAAGTTCACTTTATAGATTTGGCTTTCTTCCTTCTTCTTTTCATTATCATACATAGAGGATGTGGGCAAAGACTTTCTTTTGTTACTTCCCTGCTTCTGTGCAGAGCCTGAACTATTTTGTACTATACATTCCCACTTACAAATCTACTCCCTGTTCTCTTCTCTCGTTCGGTAATTGTCTGAACTCTGAAGTGTACAGCGCACATATAGAATTTGCGGTGGGACCCAGCAAGCCGGAGTTGCAATTCAGCGCTGGTGGTCACTAAGATGCACAACACTCGACGGTGAGAGGTGCAGTAGGGGAATTGTTTTGGGTGGTCCCTCCAAAGGTGGTAGCACGGCCCCACCATGAGACACCAAAATCCTTTTTTCTCCAAATTGGCTGAATTACCCTCGAAACAATCAAACCCCCATCCACATCCATATGTGGCCTTCATTTCGCCCAGAGAACATAGTTCGGTAAACAAACTTTTTGTTCTCCTTGATTTCCACTATACGGCAGAGCACATAAGGATTTACCGCGTCCACGTACGTAGTGGAGGAATTGCTGTCATATGCTGCAGTCAAGTGAGCAAGTGAACGATCTCTTGGAGCGAGATACGAGTCACGTCTCCGGCTAAAGGCGATAGCTTACACATAAAGCAAGGCACTAACACAAACACGGGCACACTAAGCATGCATTACTTATTTTTCCACATCAAGGTCACCTGAGACTGGACTCTGGAGAGAGAGAGAAAGAGGAGGGATTAGATATTATACGCATAGATGCGGTGGCTGGCTAGCTTCTTTATCCAAGTCGGATCAAGAAGAACAAGTGAAGAGAAAAGAGAGGGGGAGCATGCACCACAATCCCACGGCTAAAGCAGGCAGGAAGAAACAGAATCCGGCCGCTTTATTCGCGCCACACTAACAAAACCGGGAAACCCAACTAGGCAGGCAGCGCGACGCAGAATCTAGCACCTCACGCAAGAGTCAAAACATCCCGAAAAGTCAAGGCTCCCCCTTCCCTTCCCCCGCGAGGCGTCGAGGCCACCACGGCTGCGCCGCGCACATCAGATTCCTTGGAGGAATAAAAGGTGATGCTGCAAGTGACACCATGACAGAATCCACTTCTCCAGAGATTCCAGAGGCCACCCAGATACTATTTTCCCCTAGTGCTCCAGCAACTATGGATGGACAGCCTAAAGCCGTAAGTTCGCTCACCAGTGTCAGGAGCCCGGGAAAAGAAGATTTAAAGATGGCTGTTGATGAGTCAGTTGCATGGATCCTTCCTCCGAGATGGCAACTGCGCTACTAGCTAGGACGACGACGCCCCATATGCAGGGTGCCCACCCGTGTAAAGAGTAAAGACTAAAGAGAGAGGAGCATATGGATTGGAAGGCGTAAAGAGGTCGATTCCGTTTGGGCCTTGTGATTGTGGGGGCACTGTGGCCTGTGCGCTCCGAAGGGGCAGGGACGGACGGAGAATTCCGAGCCGTAATCATGGATTACTGCCGCGACGATGCGCTCCCTGTAGATGCGCGGGTCGGGCGCCCTGCGTAACATCGGACGCGACACCGGTGTGCCAACCCGTAGTGGACTCGGACGAGCACCGCGGCGCGATCGCATTGGGGGAGCGGGGCTTGGCATCGGGGTCACGCGCGCCGGTCACCCCGGGCGCCTCGCTTTTGCTTTACCCCGTCGTAATTGCTGGGTGGAAATAGTAGACGCGCACAAACGCGTATCGAGCAAGAGGTGTTAATCATGAAGGGGGAGGAAGGAAGAGGGGTAGTGTTGGTA